CAAAAAATGTAACTCGTTACCGTTACAGTTACCAAAAAAAGAAAGTAACGCAGTTACCAGTAAAGTTACCAAAAAAGTAACTTGTAACTGTAACTTCGTTACAAGTAACGAGTTACTTCCATTCCCTGGTAACTAGTTACATTTGTTACTCGGTAACGAGTAACTGTAACTAGTTATTTTTAAAAAGTAACTTTCCATTCCCTGCTATTTAGAGGACTCTACTATCAGTTTATTGATATAGTTACATCGTATAAATAACAAGGATCAGTACTGTAAAGACCGAGTATAGCTATAATCATTCAGATCAGAGGCCAGTTACATACTATTACTTGCAAATTAGTAGCTCACACTGTATACATTAAGCACTTTATAAAAATAGTTAAGGGGTATGTATAATCGACTAGAATAATTACGAAATTTGTATTCTACATTTTTTATTCGATGGTCATTTAAAAAATTTGCTTCTGGATTGGCCTTGTATATCCTGAATACAAAGAGTATAATCCTGAACATGTAAACTCTATCTATTCTTATTCATATTTAATTTTATTTTTTATAATATTTTGAAAATATTCCAATTTTTTCTTAAAAATCATATATTTTGACAAGTACAATAAATACTAAAAATTGAAAAGTAATAAACATTGATAAATACTCAAAATAAATGGGTTAAAAATAAATTTGAACATACACCAACTTATACATTATTTTATTAATCTGTTCTATTGATAATTAGATATTTAGTATTTACAATTAGATATTTATGACACACACACGTGTCCATTTCCTGTTTGGAATAATTCAGAATTTTACATTTCTATTAAACTTTAAACGCTGAATAATTGAATTAAAAATGCAAATTTTGTTTTATGTAATCTTTGATGCAATTATGCAAAAAGCGAAAATATTAAAACCGGTTAAACAAGAAAAATCGTTTCGATCAGCTGCAAAAATGATAGATAGAGCGAGATTAAGCAATATGTACACTCTATAAAAATTTCGAAAATGATGGAAAAAACATATAATGCTGTTATACTTATTATGTACTAAATAGTACATAATATTTATAAAACATTTACAAAATACTTGTAAATATTTTGTGATCTTATATATAGATGGCGTAGATCATAAATATTTATTGTAAATATTACGAAATATTTTATGTAAATGTTGTAGTAAATGCTATAAAAAAGTTCAATAAGACATAAAGTTCAATAATCCATGTAAAAAGTATAATACTTACTATAGAAATATTTATCTATATTTTAATAATATTTTGAATAAACCCACTAAAATTGTTCATACATAAATATATATAAAATATGTTTTAAATTAAGGACAATATGGTAAGATATAATATAAAGATAGGGTAAAATAGCGTGATAATGATAAAGTGATAATGTATTATAAAAGTGTGATAAAAATTGTGATAACGTAACGTAAAGCAATATAATGTATTAATGCGACCAGTTAGCAGTTTTTAAAGGAAAAGCGAATAGGTTAGTTAGGATGAGGTAATATATGCGAAGGAGCGCATGTAAGGTATGGAAGGATGTGTGTGGATAAGTGGTATTGTAAACCAAGTCCCCTTCTTGGCTATTGTAAAGCTGAAGTGAATAAATATATTATTATAAAATATGTTTAAACATCCATAAATATGTATAAATATATATAATTATATGAAATATTTTCATATATGTTCGTAAAAAAAATCAAAGTTAGAGGAATTAAAAAAAAATTGCTTATATATAATTATGTATGTTTAACATACATAATTATATATAAGCAATTTTTTTTTTAATTCCTCTAACTTTGATTTTTTTTACGAACATATATGAAAATATTTCATATAATTATATATATTTATACATATTTATGGATGTTTAAACATATTTTATAATAATATATTTATTCACTTCAGCTTTACAATTATGTGGTTATATGTATATATTTATTTATGCATGAACAATTTTTACCGAGATACTTTGTATAAAATATGTATAAAATATTTATATAACATTTATACAAATAAAAGAAAGGCCAAGAGCCAAATGTTGACTTATAACAAACACACATACATAGATTTTTGTGAACATTGATAATGACCCGATCGGTGTCGAAACGTCTGATATTGTTGATATTATTATTTTATTTTTATTTTGTATTGTCTTTATTCAATTTGTAATGTTTATTAATTTAAATTAAAGTGTGTTTGTTATAAGTCAACATTTGCTTGGCCCTTCTTTTATTTTGTATGTTTTATACTAAAAGAGCCTTATATTATATTAAATTTATATAACATTTTTTTTAATGAATAGTAATAAATATTTATTATAAATATTCTGTGCTGTTTGAGCAACAATTCTTATATGTAATATAAACATAGAAAAAATTAAACAGATTTTAATTTTGTTTATTTGATTTTATATTGACGATAAAGCTAAAGACGTATTTCGCATTAATAGTGCACCAGACATCGGCTTATGTATAGCGTAATCGACATAGATGGATTGAGTTCTTGGCCAGTATTGCAGAAGCTCTCGTACGATACGGAGTGATCCGGCTCATAATCCAGAACATAACTTGAGCACGCGGGAATTGTCTTAGATAATTGAGAAGTAAGGGGAAAACAAGGTGAGTGCAAACAAAGTTGAATATCTGGAGACACATTGGACAAAATTATCAATTATTTAATATAAGACATAAACTATCTGATAAATCAATTGAATAAAATTTAAGAAATAACTAAAATTTAAAAAAGAGAAATATAAAAGATATAGGAAGATTTTTTATTTTATGTTACCTTTCTAGCATGACATAAAAGCTTTTAGATTTTTATTTGTACTGAGTAAAGAGAAGAAAATAATAGTATTATAATAAAACAAATGTATATATGTCAGTTCAATTATGACAGATATTTCTCCCGTTGTCCCTATAGATTTTTAATTTTAGTAAGTTTACAAATGTAAAGGTTACTAGAGTTTTACGCCTTAATTTCTTAAATGTAAAGGAAGTGAGAATCGTAATCGAAAAATCGAGATGTAGGTATATGATATTTTTATCTTTTTTATTTTCTAACGGTTATTCATAAGAAATCGTTTGAAGTGGTTTGAGACATTTGTACGGTGATTGCAGAAATTTTACTCTGAAGTCGATTAACATATCCGGTAAACTTGTATACGACAAACAAAATAGGCTCAAGAATTGGTATTAGATGCAATTGATAATCAGATTCAAATTAATTCTAACAATTATTTCTCAATTAACATATAACAATATTATTTTATCAGCCGTTAAAATTTATATAGTGATAATAGCCAATACTGAAAAATAATATAATTAATTACTGTCTTTCAATAATAAATTGGTCAGTATTAAGATTTAAAAAAAATTGTAATTTCATTTTGTTCAATATATACCATATATATAATAATTCATATCCATATTTTTAGTAATATTAAGTGAAAAATCAATTAATGAGATTAAACATACATAAATAAAAAAAATGCAATATTTACCGAAGGCGGTACTTCGTGCCTAATAATTTTTCATAATATAATATTCGCCTAAATATATTTTTAATAACTTATTCTGTATCATTTCTGATTTATACACAATTATCAACATTATTGTAGTATATAAAATTAAATATAAATTTATTAACTATTAAAAATAGTTCTTTTTGTGTATTAATAAAAACTTTTTTTTATCTACTACGCGTAGATAAATAATTTCTTTTTTATTATATTAATTACGTTTCTATTATGTATTACTAGAAGGCGTAAATATTGTATTTTAAATGATATTTATGCCTTATTTAACTGCCAGTTATAAAATGTAAATGCAACGGTTTTAAAATATCAATTTTTTGGATCAGCTGATGTATTGATAATCAGTATAGTCGTAATGAAAAGATAATTATTTAACATTTTAATCATATTTCTATGGCAGTATGCATAAATGTATAAATATTTAATATTTGTACAGATGGAGACAAAGTTTTTCAAGTTCTTCTCATTTCCTTCTGATGCCTTCTTCTTACTTCTTCTCATGCGTTACAAATGATCAGTCTGTTTAAAATAAAGTTAAATTAAAATGGGTTTTACTATCTATCTGTACCAGTAAAGTTTAATTCTATTCGATGTAAATACTTAAATTTACACTTTACAATTAAAGAAACTTTTTGCAAATAAATAATTAATATTTTATCGTATCATTGTCAATTGATTACTGGTTTTTTAAAATAGACACATATTATATAATTTTTATTTTTTGATTCTTATATGCCCTGTATTTATATATGTTTGTGTTTTGAATATTAAGAATCCTATATCTCATCTATTTTTTTAATATTTTAATATTAAAAGAAATGTTACCAGCTTATAATTAAGATTTGGAATGTAACTTTTGGATAAATTTACTTGAAATAAAGTTTCATGATAATATTTTTAAGATAATAATTATAAGATTTAACTTCAAAATATGTAGAAAATTAAAGTAATCTAAGAACTTTAAAGTATTTCAAGACTGACTTTAAAATAATCTTAGAAAAATTAATTATTTTCATTGCATGTAGAGGGAATTTTAAAAGTTTTTAAGTTTTAAAAGATAAAGCTATATTAATTTAAAGTAGTGCGCTGCATCGCCATTAACGTAGCAAAATTATATCTTCTCTAAAGTTTTTTTTGAGTTTTCTCTATAATTTTAACTAAAAATCTTAAGTACGAGTACTTTTTAAAGAACTTTCTAAGATAAATCTTCCCGAGCAAAAGAAAGAAGATATATATAAATAACAAAATATTCAAAAATTTTCTGATATAATTTTCTAATAATTCTCAACTTTTTCATAGCCTCTTTTGATATGTTTCTATATACTTGTATTCTTCTTTCGCAGAAACGTCATATTCCTTTGCATTAATGTTTTACATCATGCTATAACCGTCACAATCCCATTGTATATAGCAATTAACTTAAAGCTTTTAAGTAACATTGATCGGTTACGATCGATATAACTAAACAACGGTATAAATTATCATTATTATTTGGGACTTGTACATCTGCAATTGACATACTATATTTCTTAATGCTGTCAGTATTATCTGCGGTTTTACTCGAATATTTTAAATGTAATCGAAGGTTATTTCAAATATTAGCATGATTAAAAAGTCATCATGCAAAAATATATGTATGTATACATATATGTATAAATATTCATAAACATATATATGAAATATGCTCATACATGTTCATACTTCTTTTTTTTGTAAAATTACTTTTTAGTGTTGTAGTAATAATAATAATAATAATAATAATAATAACAACAACAATAATGAGAACAACAAAAATGATTAAAGGAATAATTTTTGCATTGTTTTATAAAAAATCAAGTTTGGTAAAATTTAAAGAAACTACTCATATACATAATTATGTATACAATTTTATGTATACATAATTATGTATACAATTTTATATATGTATAATTATATATGAGCAATTCTTTCGTAAATGCATCATGTAGTATCTGTTATCTGATAAATTATTATCCGCTACATATATCATATTCTCTGTCATTCGACAAATTATTATCTCTAATGAGTGAAAGAAATAAGCGTAAATTGCGTTTATCATAATTGTTTAATGATTGAAGAATTTAGAAAATGTTTGAAGTGCTCATCTTACAAACATAATCTAATTTAGTTACATAATATCTTATCAACAATTTTTAAATATATATTATTGCAATATTTTTTTTAATTCAGTGGAAAGTATTCAGGAACAGAAGGAACTTTTGGAAAAATTTACCTAAGAAAATCTGTAAAAAACTTAACATTTACTTACTGTAGAGAAAACTAAAAAAAAATCTAAAAAGGTAAAATTTAGAGAAAAAAGCTAAAAGAAATTAAAGAAACTTTTAAAGTTATAAAGCTTGCCACCAAAAGTCATTGTTCAATGTACCAAAAATGAAAATACAGCGCTGTGCATTTTATTCTCTCTTGTATGAATCTTATATGAGAAAATGTAGCACCCCCGCATCCATAAAGATGACGTCATATACTGTTCATGGGTAAACTTTAGGTGTTAACTTAGTTTTACTTTAAAACTTAAGAACATTTTAAAAATTCCAGATGCATAAAAAATAATAGAATCTTCAGTTCTTTTAAAACTTTTTAAGAGTCAGCTTTGAAATACTTCAAAAGTTTTAGATTACTTTTGATTAATCTTTTGTACACTTTAATTACCTCAAAAATATTTTATTAAACTCTTAATTATTTTTAAAAGCCTTGACTGACTCACAAGAGAGAGAAGAATGTGTGCTAGAATTTCACAAGTCATAGTGTTCTGCTTCTTACATAAGTAAACTTCTTATCATCTAATGCGAGGCTGCAAAACTTAATATTAAAACTTTAAAATACATACAACATGTGAAATAACACTGAGCAGTCGCACGCACTTCCTTTAATTTTGCATATATAATGATTTGAATCATTATTCATATAGTATATATATGTATATATGATGTTTTCAGTATGATGTTTTAATATCTAAATTAATTTTTTAGATATAACATATATTTGTTAGTTTTTTGTTTAGAGTTGCGTTGTAAGTCTGAAAAAATGTTCGGCACGCGATTGAGAGAACTACATACGCGATATATAAATTTACACATAATGATAATAAGCATCTTGATCTAGCTTTGACCGTGATAGGCTTTGCTTTGTGCTTCCTTCTTTCTTGTTATTGTTTAACAATTGTACGATCGTAAAAATAAGATTCCATTATTTGTTAATATATTTGTTATATCTAAAAAATACGAATATATATTCGTATATTTCACATGGCAATAATATAGTATACAAAATAATTTTATTATACAAAGTACAGAATAATATATGTTTGTAATGTGATAAATTTTAATAAATTAACATCAATTTTATGGTGCTGTATCCATATTTATTGATAACTTTCTTTATGGATCATAATGATAAAAAAGATAAATTTTCTTCACAAACAAATAAAAAAAAACTTTATTCAATCAGATATGGCTGATAGAAAATACATATGAATTCACATAGAAATATAATAATATCTAATATTATTATATTTTTCTATGTGAATTCATATGTATTTTCTGTCAACTATGCATCAAATATTTATCTAATTGAATGCAATTTTGAAATGTAATCTTAAATTTAAATTAGAATAATAATATCGTAATAACGTTAATAATAAATTTAATAACATTAATTCTAAAAATTATTATAAAAATGTCTTTTTTTCTTCATTTTTTAGATGTTTGTATTATATTTTGTAAAAAAAAATAGGAAGTAGTATTTATTTACACTTCAGCTTTACAAAAATAGCCAAGAAGGGGAAAAAAAATAGGAAAAAGATACTGAAAAACATAACGCGATAACACAAAGTTCAGTATAAAATTAGATCCGTGAAGATAGAAGTTTTACTTGAAGCATGATTACGTATCATATGTGTTGATATAATAATAATGCTGCTCACAAATTCAACTTTCATATTTTTTAAATTTTATATTTTAAATTTTATTCTTATTGCTAATATACTACACATAGTGTGTATATATACGTATTAATAATATATATATTGCTATACGTAAATTGTTTCTCTATTAATTTACTTTCAATTACGTATTTAATAAACTTCCAAAATTTTATGTGCATAAATATTCATATATCTATTCATAAATATATCATGAAAAATATTTATATAGCAATAAATTAAAACCTTTTCAGTAAAAATTATTGCAAAACTAGAACAATAAATTAAAATCTTTTCGGTAGAAATTATTACATAGCTCGAGATATATTACATTACATAATTAAACAATTGTTGTAAATTTTAAATAAATATTTTTTAATTTTTCCATATACATCTTTTGTTATCTTATTACACTTTTTTAAAACTTCATAACTCATTTTAAATAAATAAATACATATATATGATTTTTCATGTAAAATTTTAGTAAAAATATATTTTAATCTTACAAATTTATACTTACATTTACATCAGTTTGAGATATTTTAATTCGATAATGTTATTCCTCACTCATGGTCGTATTTGAACTATTATCGTAATTTGCAGTTATTATAGTTCCAAAATATACCTATATCAAATTATAAAGTAAGTCAAATGTAATTGAATAAGTAGCGCTCTTGTGTTGTGAATGTCTTATATAATGATATGACATTTATTTTCCAAATGTCATGTAATGAATAAGAAATTGCGTTTGAATGCAATAGGGTTATAACGAATAAATAATGTTGTACATATAATAGCTATGATTTAGTTAATGCATATTATTAAAAATTGCTAAAACTTTCTAAAATTTAGCAGTTTTTAAAAATTTGTAAAAGAATTGTTTAATATTGTGGCACAATTTGCGTAGAACTAATTTTACACTAATATTATATATGTATAATGTACACATAAACAAACTGTAACTAGAGTATACAAAAACAGTTCAACTAAATCTGAACTACTAACAGTAATCGATAAAATCATTATAAATAATCGAAGAAATGAGTACTCATTTATTTGTGTTTATAGAAAGAAGTTATATATAAACTTTTTATATAACTTTACGAGCACTACTTCTCTGTTTAACATATTCTCCATTTTTCTTTTTTATTTTTGTGTAATTTTATAAGTGGCAATAGGTTGCATATTGTCTGCAGTCGCATAACTTATACTTCCTTACTCTGTATGTAGATTTATAAATTTCTTTTTCGAATATAAAGCATGACAATTTAACAATTCTTCATGCAAAGCTATGCTTGGATGAAAAATTTGTTTTTCTATTTATTCAAACTATAGAATAAGTTTGAAGCGAAAAATGCTATTATAGAATATGACATAGAAAATGCAATTTACATAGTTAATATTATGGAAAGAAACATAAGTCATCAACTACGTTATCTTTATGTAATCTAAAAGTGTATTTTTATAACTGTTTTTTGCACGATATTCGCAATTCCTTTTTTTCAAACGTCGAGTAATTTTTTGCGTTTATGAAAAACATTGATTTCTTAAAGGGGCGGAATTTCTGTCATCCGGTGCAGATACATGTAATATTGTGACGTTCTTGTGACATTGATCCTTACAGTCAGTCTAACGATTAAGATAATTTGCGAGTTTGCGTAACACGTCTTCAACAAATGCTAATATGGGTGTACTTTGAACATTTATAACAAAAATAAAGCAATCACGTATCGTACGATCGTTACTTGTCAACAATCTCATATATTATACTTTTAAAAACCTTCTCTATATCAATATATCAAATGAAAAGGAAACGATTTAAACGTTTGCAGATTTAATAAAAAAATGATAAATTAAAGTTTTAAAATCCTGCAAAGCTAACGTCAAAATCTGTAACAGTTGACTGACGTCACTTTGTTTGACTTTTTAAATTAATGTTGACTAAAGGTACTAATTATAATTTTATAGACCCAAAATGATATAAAAATGACTAATTTATTAAATGTAAGTTTATTCAAATAAGCGAGAAAGAATATCTTTGGTTAAAGCTCATGTTGGTGCTTAAGTTTATTTTAATAACAATATTTCAAATTTTCAGATATAATATCTAGATATAAAAAATGTAATTGAGTGGATCCATCTTCCACTCTGATTAAAAAGGTAATTCATATTAGTAATTCAAATTTTACGTTTCTATTTTAACCCTCAGTACACACAATTGGATTATTCGTATCTTGCACATTTGTTTTCTTTGAATAGGAATATCAAGTAATTGTTATAACATCTATATACAATTTTTTTAAATACACAATTTCATAAATATTATAAATGTATTGTCTAAAGATATTAAAGTATATATAAGAATTACTTAATAATTTTTTTATATTTTTTAAAGTAATGAAAATTAACCTACAAAGAACCAATAAGAGTAAAAAAATCGAAAAATCATCGTATATACTAATGATTAAGAATATGTGTTTATATGTAGAACTGTATAAGAGACACATGTGTAATTTGAACAACTTTCAGTTTCATTTATATTTATTAAATGATCGTTTTATTGCGCTTTTGTATATTAAAAATCAACGTTTTAAAAAGCGATTTTAATTATTTGTGCTATTTTGTACTTTGGATTGATGACGCAAGCATAATTAAATAATGCACATTGATAAGTGTAACTAAGTTTATTCTTTCACATTATCAATTCTAATAGTATACTATTCATCATTAGTATAAATATTCGTAATAGTTTCAATGTTTAGTTATTTAAATTATGTTAACTTCAAAAAAGGCAAATTAAAAATAAATAGTTACCGATAAAGTGTAACTAAATTAAGTTAAAAATTTAAGAGTCTAAAATGTAACTGAGTGTGTGTGTGTGTGTGTGTGTGTGTGAAGTTAAAATTAATTAATTTTTTAACTTTATAACTTAACTTTCAACTTTTTAATTTAGTACTACTCAACTCTGCCAATTTTACTTTTCTATACATGTTTCTTATATCATATATATATTTATTTTTTACATGTTAACTCTTTTTTACGTGTAATTTAGATATTGTGCAATTATTTTATTATATTCGATTATAAAATAATCGAATAAAATAGCGTTAAATAAATAATTCAAATTTTTTTACATCTTTATTTAATTAAAAATTCTAATTGTTGAAAAATAAAAACGAAACATATTTTTCTAAAAATTACATTATTTCAACATAATATGTAATATCCTTTCACAACTAGCTATTATCAAGTTATATGTTAAATCTGAAAATTTAATAATATTCTAATAAATAAACGCAATTTACTACTTATTATTAAATTTTTATATTAATTAGATATACAATTTTGCTGTTTCTTTATTTACCATTTCTATTTGCTTTTTCTTTTATCGTATATCGATTTTTTATTACGCATATATGTATCAAAGCATTACATTAAAATAGATATAAATACATAAGTCTCAAAAAGATATACAAATATAATTACAGCCGATTTTCTGACAACAATTAAGATATTAATAAAGCTACATGAACAGTAGTTTGTTTTTTATTATGAATTTAATAATAAACTTAATAGTAAAAATTAAAAATAAGTTCTTTGTCTATTTTATTATCTATTATTATTTCAGGTAGAATGTCCGTATCTCAGGTCATACAGTCACATGGTCATCGTGTAAATGGATTTACACGAGATGATAAGGTATGATATTTATAAGGAAAAAAATATATATATGGTTGAGTCACCGCGTCATTCATTTGCTCAAACAAACGTGTTTCATCGCGAATAGTAACTGCAATAAATATATCGTATTTCTTTGCACAATTATACCCTCATTACATAGTTCAATTAAGATTTCATCTATTACTTATTTTATACGTTCATTAATTTCATCGGAAGCTGATATTATACGTATGTATAGTGAATAACTCGTCAAATATAAGTGTCAACCATTATCATTTTTCCGTCAATGAATATATCGCTTCTCTTTTTGCCATTCATAATACGTTAACTTAATATATCATATAGTATACATACGTAATTATTTTGCGTACTGACTGTACATAAGTGTATATGTAGTTGGACTTCGTAATTACATTATTACACGCACGCACGTTTAGAAACATCTTACAATTTTAATTTAAAAAATTATACAAGTTTCTCACAATATATTCTAATATTACTTGACATTTTTATTTAAGAATGTGTGTCAATAAAAGAACACATAGCTTAATTCATTGTGTCACAGTGACATTATGAATCACAGAGATAATACAGATATTTATGGAATTGCAAAATTCTAACAGTATTGTAATAATTTAAAGTTAGTATATACATATGTATTAATTGTTTAATACAAATTTTTGGTATTCATTAAACGATTTCAGTTCTTTAGAATCATTTGTGCGTTAATGATGGTCATCCATATGTGGACAAACAAGAAAAATGTTTATATTAATAATTAAAAAAGACTAATGCATATTAAATTTTAAATTTGAAATTAATAATTCCTGTGAAAATGATAATGGTTTGCTTAATGACTTTTTGCTTGGTTACGTGGATGGCCATCATTAACATATGTATAATATAAGTAATGCCACACTTTAAAAAACTCACTTAAAATTTATGTCATGGTATTTTAACATTAAACACACAAACTGGATGAAAAATTTGTTGCAGGAGATGACTCAATCAATCAGATATGCATCGGCTAGTGAAACTGGTCTCGATGGTAATTCCATTATAAGGCTTTCATAATAAAAATTTTTTAGTATCGTTAATTTTTTTTTTTTATATAATAAATCTATCGATCTCTCCTTTTACAATTATCCATTACAATGCTAGAGTATTACTGTTATTTATCCTACTTTACTTTGTAGAAAATTATTTATAAGCTCTGCCCACAACAAAGTATACATTTTTCTAAGCAAATTAATTTTTGTAAATCGTTATTTTTTTTAAACAATGTACAAAAATTGCTATACTTGATTTAAATCGTTATTTTATTTAAATAAAAAAATAAAATATTTTTATTTCCATATTTTTAGGACCTGATCAAGTGCTACCTGCGGACACGGATACTACATGTAACGTCGACGGCAAAGTACGAATAAAGTTAGATAGCAATGGACCTAATTCATGCATGCCCTTATCAATCCCTGGAGTTTTCATGAAAACAGTAAAACTTTATCCTGATCATATAGCGATAGTCTCTAAACCTGATAATAACGGCAAAAGAACCATGTACACTTTCCGGTATGTATAAAAAAAAACAATTTTATAATAAAATTTGTTGTTCCTTTCATTTATCATAATAATTTAGGTGCAGTAAGACTTATCAGAATAATGTCTCTATTTATTTATTTTTTGTAAAGTAAAAATATTATTTTGTGTACAAATGTTCTCTCTTCTTCTCGATTTGATTTACAGGAAGTTTTAATAAGTTAGCAAAACTAAATTTATCGCATTGAATAGTACAATCAACTTTATGCAATTTTGTTAATTTGAATTACAGAGAATACGAGTTTATGGTAAGAACCGTCGCAAAAGCATTTCTGAAGCTGGGTTTGGAGCGATATCATAGCGTCTGTATAATAGGATTCAATAGTCCGGAATGGTTCATTACAGAACTTGCGACTATATACGCTGGGTAAAAAAGCTTAATTGTTTTATATCAAAATAAACATCATCTATAACTTATGCGTACTTTTAATAATTCATAATTTGCTTATATAGCAATGTAATAATAAAAAAAAGATGTAACGTTTTCAACAACGTATATTTATTTTTCCGATTTTTAGATAAATAGATCATCGTTCTTTTTTAGTGGATTGGCTACAGGGATTTATACTACAAATTCTCCAGAGGCGTGTCAATATTGTGCTGAACACAGTCGGGCAAATATAATAGTTGTTGAAGATGAGAAACAATTGCGAAAAATCTTGCAAATAAAACACAATTTGCCTCACTTGAAAGCAATTGTTCAATATGATGGCAAACCAATCGAAAAGGATATTTTGAGTGTAAATTAATTACATGCTTCTCTCTCTCTCTCTCTCTCTCTCTCTCTCTCTCTCCCCCCCTCTCTCTTTCTCTCTCCCCTCTCTCTCTATCTTTTTATTGAGTATACAACTTATTTTATTACTTATTGTTTCTCAGTGGGACGATTTATTGAATATAGGTAAAGAAGAATCGGAGGATAAATTGTTATCTGTATTAAAGACGATAGGAGTAAATGAATGTTGCATTTTAGTGTACACGGTGCGTTACATTTATCACAGTAAATCAAATTGAGAACGTTAAAATATTTAATTTACTATTTGCAATCTTTACAGTCGGGAACAGTTGGAAAACCAAAAGCTGTAATGTTAAATCATGATAATATATTACACTGCATACGGATACTTACACCAATATTACAAATAAAAGACAAATCAGAAGTTATAGTTAGCTACTTGCCATTATCTCATGTTGCAGGACAGGTGAGATGTTCCAAATAGAATAATATATTTTAGGTATCTTATAAGTATAAATACTTTGCTAATATTACAGAATTGAAAAAGTTACTTTTTAAACATAGCTACTTACAGTTACTTAGAAAGTGATGAAAAGACACTTTACATTTCATATACAATTATAATATATATATTTTTATACTGCATATATATGTACTTATATATGTAATTTTATAAAAAACAAATTTTATAAAATGTTAGGAATAAAAGTATATTTTAATTACAAAAAATAATCACAGATTCTTCATTGAACACTTCATTTCGGTCTCAGTCCATATGTTAAGAAATAAATTTAAAATATAAAATGTAACTAAATAGAAGTAAATGTTAAATTAGTTATAAATAACTAATGTTATAAATAAAGAAGTACCTTTCAAACTTACATTTTAATGCACATTTTCACGCATATAAATTACACACAGTTGGGAAGTAATATACTATTTGTAACGTTGTCACCGTTATAATTACTTCTTTTTAGTAACAATGTTGTATTTTTTAACGCAGTTACATTTTTTGCACACTAAATGTGTACAGTAAATTTTAAAGAAAGGAAATTTTTATAGTTACTTTTTACCATATTGTGATTAACTATATATTGCTATATATAACGATATATAACTAGATATTGCAAATCTCAATTAAATTGGTCAATTTGAGCAATATTGAATGTCACTTTTGTATACAAAATGTACCAAATTACTTTTTTAAAGTGGCATTCAATATTGTTCAAATTGACCAATAAAATTAACAAGGTCGGAAATGTCCCTCACCGATTTTAATGTGCTTTGGATATTATATCGAGGTTTAAGGGGTAAAATAATCCTCGAAAAAAATGGATTTTTTTGTTTTTAGCGAATATCTTCAAAACTATGCCGCATATGAAAAAATATTTTGTACAAAATTTTTTTTTAATAGGGGTGGAGGTTAATTAAAGAATTTGATATTTTTAAAAATGACTACACTATTATATACAACATAAAATACTGTAAAACTTTTGTATAAAACATTTTTTCATATGCGGGATAGTTTCGAAGATATTCACTGAGAATGAAAAAAATCTATTTTTTTTCGAGGGGGTGTTTCACCCCCTAAATCTCGAGATAAACCGCTATAAAAAAAATATAGGTCAAACAATTTTGATACTCTACAACATATTCAAAGTGCATTGAAATCGGTGAGGGACAGTTCCGACCGTTCCCTTGTAAAATAGTTAATTTTCTATTGGATAACAAATGACGGTAATAAGTTATCTTTTTGACTTTCCCAAATCTGTAAAATTACATCTGAATATCTATTACAATAGATAGAAAAAAAAAAATTTATAATCATGTTTTATTAATTTTAGTTAATTGACATCATAGCAAACATTATGATAGCGACCACAGTATACTTCGCAGATCCAGGTGCGTTAAAGGGTACTTTAATAAACACGCTACTTGTGGCACAACCAACCATTTTCATGGGAGTACCCAGAGTATGGGAAAAAATATATGAAAAGATGCAAGAGAAAGCGCGTAGTAACGGTATAATAAAAACTTGGATTGCTAAATGGGCAAAAGCACAAAGTCTTCATTATTACACGAATAAAATGAATGGCATAGATTACAAACATTGGGGTTACGTCTTTGCAAAATGGCTTGTTTTCGACAAAGTCAAAGCAGCATTGGGTTTAAATAAGTGCCATATCTTCGCTACCGCAGCAGCACCCATCAATATCGATATTAAAAAGTATTTCTCGAGTTTAGACATACCTCTAATAGAGGTGTATGGAATGTCTGAATGTAGTGGACCTCATACACTAATCGATGTTAAAGAATATAGGTAAATTATATCTGCTTTTATTCTTTACATCATAATAAATTTTATCATAACAAGACGATTTAAATATTTTTAAAATATACTGTATACACTAAACGTTATTTTTATTTATTTATAGCCTGTATGGTGTAGGAAGAACTATACCTGGATTATATACAAAATTAGATAACATAGATGAACATGGTGAGGGAGAGGTTTGTATGGGTGGACGACATATATTTATGGGTTATTTAAATAATCCTGAAAAAACCGAAGAAGCCAAAGACAACATCGGCTGGTTACATAGTGGTGATCTTGGCAAATTCGATTCGAAAGGGAATTTATCTATTACTGGTAAACATTATACGCGTTTTATGCCTATTGACATTTATAATTATGTAATATTTCAGTAAAAATTGTTTCAATAATTCTTATAGGTATTGGAACATTTTTTAAAAACACTAAAAAAAGCATATCCTTTTCAGATTTTTTATATTGTACATATAAAATTTTAAATATTCTAAAATTTATAAGATTTCTTCTTATATTTTTAATATTTAAAGATTCTAAAATATTTTTATATAACAATTTCTTTTTAAATTATATATAAAAAATTCTCAGCAAAATTTTCATCAGATTATTGTTAAAAATAATCACATTTGTGTTATGTCAGTAGATACGATATATAATATTTTACACACATACATTCGCAGGTAGAATAAAAGAACTTATAATCACAAGTGGAGGGGAAAATGTGGCACCATATAATATCGAACAGTCGATATTATCAGAATTACCATATTTAAGCAATGCTATGGTAATTGGAGATCAAAGAAAATATTTAACAGTCCTTGTCACGCTTAAGGTACAATACGAGAAAATAAAATATAAATTTAAAATTATAAATATTTAAATAATGTTTTTTTTTTCAGAGTAATATGGATGAAGAAACTGGGGCGCCATTAAATACGTTGACGCTAGATGTATTAAAATGGACACAGTCTATCGGTAGTAGTGCCAAAACGGTTACTGAAGTCATAAGCTCTCGAGATGCAGCCGTAAGTCTTAAAAGAAACTCATAATATTATTTAAAATATTTTGTATAATAAAAACATATTTATTTCTTAAGTACGAATCCAGCAATAAATGAGCGTGAACAAACGCATGAACAAATAATTTTTGTAGTACATAATAATTTACTGGCGATGCATTAGTTAAATATTGATAATATTGGAACAATGTTAGTGGGACAATATTAATACTGAGCCAATATTATGCCTAATACTTGTGCTACTAAAGTTATTTTAATGGAATGACATCGCTTATACGCCAACATTCTATTTGCTCATTTGATCTGGATGTTTAAATATTACAAAATGTTTCTTGATCTTTTAGATATACGAAGAAATCAACGAGGCAATTAAGAGAGCAAATATACAAGCCATAAGTAATGCTCAAAAAGTACAGAAATTCGAAATTCTTCCTCATGATTTTTCAATTCCAACTGGCGAATTGGGGCCCACGTTAAAGCTTAGAAAGAACGTTGTTCTGAAGATGTATGCTGATTTAATAGATAGAATGTACGAATAAACTATAAACGCTACTTAATAAACTCTGATTAACAGAAATATTACAACGATTTTATAATTTCACTTTCAACGAAATAATAAATATAATGTAACACAAGTGTAGTACGTAACAATTACATCGTCAAGTGTGAAATTATAACATTGATTCTATGTTGCTGTTAATTAATGTTTATTTGATACTATCATAATATGGAACATTCTTATATCGCTTTTTACCGATACCTTGACATACAAAACATTAAATATTTTATAAGCGAGATGTTTAAACATTTTGATGCATATTTTAAGTCAGGTGGTTAAAGGAAATGAGAAGAATGTTAAGTTTTGACAATTTTTTAACTAACATGTTCAATTAAAGTTTTAAGATGTATAAATTATATTAAAGGCTGTATACTTAAGCGAAAAGTAGGATATCATTTATCTTAGAGATATATCAGGAGAAATCGTGATCGAAGACAATAATGTTATCACATTTAGTAATAAGAATTATTAAGACATCAAGACATTTTAAGAATTAACAACATCATTAAACAAGATGATATAGGTATTCATTAGAGATAAGCATTTTTATATATAGATATAAACATTATATTGAAACTATTGACAGCTGTTTTCTTTAATTGTCTCTTTGTCAATTATAAATAAAAATAATTGTCGTACAGTATACTAGGCGTCATTGATGCCTTCCCACTTAAAATTATTTTCCTCGCTGATTGAATACATCATATCTAAATATTCGTTTATCACAATTTTTAATTCATCAATGTTGCTTCGAAATTACATGTCTAATAGAATACTTTAATATTATTTAATAGATAATTAATATAAGGGAAAAAACTAAAAAACAATCAATTTTTTAAAACATAATAATAATCGTGAATAAGTTGTTTTAAATAAATTTTGTTCATTTATATACACGCATATATTGCATACTTTTAAAAACTTTGGCTTTTGTTATATACTTTTAGAAATATATTTTGGTAGTGTTACAACACACGTTATAAAAATTCATATTTAAAAATTAAACTTAAAAAAGTACTTTAATAAAACGTTAAAAATTGTTGATAATAAACAACAAAAATGATTTCAAAATAAATTCCTATTTGCAATGACATTACAGTTTAAAATTCGAATAAATTATTGCACCTTTTATAAATTGTAATAGAGCTAAATAATTTTAAATTAGATGTAATTAAATAGTAAAAATTAATAGCGCAAAATTGAACGATATGCATACTTTGCGAATACACAAAAATTCAAAAATTATTAAAAATATTACATTTAATGTAAACTTAATGTGATTTAATTTAACATCGTAACAATTTTTATGATGCTATTGGAAAAATGATAATTTGATTTTGTTAAAGCTAAAACATGTTTCGCATTAATAGTAACATAAGCCACCAGATGGCTTACATATGTGTGTATATATATATATAGCATAATTGAAATTATGGGTTGAGTTTTTAGTTAGAGTATTGTAAGAGTTACCGCCCGATACGAAGTAATCAACAGTGATCCAGCTCATAATCCAAAACATAACTCGATCACATAGGAGAATTATTTGTTTAGAATTTTAAATAGTTAAGAAATAAGGAAGGCAAGGTGAGTAAAATGAGTGAATATTTGTAGTTGTATTGAGCAAATATATGCAAGGATGACACAAATATAACTAAGACTTTTTTACGTGTAAATATACAAATCAATATTAGAGGTATTTACACTAAATAAAAAGAAGGAGATAAATAAAAACAAATTTTTATTTTCGCGCTCTATGTAGGCTTCCAAAATTCATTGTTAATTAAATATCTATATAGTTTACGTTGTGTGTGAACATGTATATATATTACACATACATAAAATGAAGAAAAAATATAGAACTGGTTTTTCTCTCCAATACTTTGATTTCGAGATTTTCAGTTCGAAAACAATACATTAGAGAGAAAAATGTTTCATATAAAAGTAATAAGGTTTCAAAATGCATGTTAAGTTTATTTGATCTTGAGAGTATATACAAAGTACGAAGGTGCTGTTAAAATCAATTTTAAAATTTTTTATGAAATCAGAAATCTCCACTTTTTATTCAACATTTTTGTAGTTGATATTAAGATCTTTTCAAAACACTACAATAAAACTTCTTTTAGTTATGTATTAATAATTTAAGAGCGATATTTTTATACTTTTTATTTTCTAATGTTTATATAGATGAGTAATCGGTTAATAAGTAAATAAGATTTAAATATTTTTACAAAAAAGATATTTTCTCTCATCTTTTACATTAAATAAACATTTTATAAATAACAAGTATCAGGGCAATCAATTTCAACTTCTAGCGATTATTTTTTAATTAATGTATAACAATATTAGTATGTGAGTTATCTTTTTCTTTTGTTCAATATACATGTAACCCACATTTCTTATTCCATATTACTACTAATTTAAATTTAATTAGCATTATTACGATATAATATTAAATATAGAAATATGGAATATCATATTGAATATTAAAAACGGAATTTTTTGCATTAATTAGTATCTTGATATATCTGTCTGTGTAAAGCTTCGTTTTAATTTTATTAAGTTAATAAATTTATTGTTGTTTTAACTGAGGAAATTGCTCGATAATAGATAAATGATTATCTCTTCATAATAATTGCAACCAGATGGATATCAGTCTACTGTAATAACCTTTATTTTGTTAAAGAAGGCTAAAAGATTAGTCGTAACATGTACTAGTTAATTTCTTATTATTATTAAAAATACAGCTTTTTCAAAGTAAAACTGCGCACCGTCTACACTGCCAATTCTCAATTGTCCATTTGTCATTTATTTATTTAAAAGTGTTCACATGTTTCAGCTTCTTTTCAGCTTCTTTTAGAATATAATTGAATTAGAACAGAAGCAAACTATGAAGTAAATACTACATTTAACAGCGTACTTTTATAATTACTTTTTGCATAATATTTGTTCGATATAATAAGTTTCTTTTCTTTTGCAAATCTTTCGCGCGCTCTTTTGCGATTTGAAAAACAATAGGAGCGAATTCTTCGAGAGGTTCTCCATATATTACAGAAAACTGTAAATCAAATATAATTTTATCGGTTCGATTATGACTCCGATGTTATTAACTTTGTCGAATTTTATATTTGTAATTTCGATTTTGACTCGAGAAAAAAGGTTAAAAATGTTAATTCTAAATTCTTGCTCAAAATAAAAATATCATCATTTTAAATTTATAAATCGGGTTGTTGCAGAAGATGAATCAGTCAACTACATATGCATTGGCTAATGAAACTGGTCTCGATGGTAATTCTGTCATAATATATTAAAATAACATTTTAGTTGCAGTAATTTCGCTTATCAATCTCTCCTTGAAAAATTATCAATTACGAACATCAGCGCATTATCATTATATATCCTGCTTTTTACATAGATAATTATTTATAAATTCTGCTGACAGAGCCTTTTTTTTTCTTTTATATTAAGCAATTCAGTTTTTAAATTAAAATTTTGCAAATTTTTATTTTTTGAATAAAAAAAGTAAAAATGTTTATATTTTAATATTTTAGGACCAAATCAGATATTATTTACGGACGTAGATACCACATCTAACGTTAACGGCAGAGTACGAATAAAGTTGGATAACAATGAATCGAATTCATACATACCTATATCAATTCCTGGAGTTTTGACCAAAACAGTAAAGCTTTATCCCAATCATATCGCGTTAGTTTCTAGACCTGATGCCAACGGCAAAAGAACCACATATACTTTTCAGTATGTATAAAAAAAAAGAATAAAAAGATATAGTAAAACATTTGTTTTTCTTCATTATCACAGTAGTAATATAAGTATGATAAAACATGTAAGACTAATTTCTCTATTAATGATTTAGTTAAAATATAAATATTATCTTTATACAAACTCCTTTTTTTCTATTCTTCTCAATATGATTTACTGATGGTTTACTGATTTGCATATAAAATCAAATGAGTTTAACGACTATATTTACCTCGATAAACGATACCATTAATTTTGTACAATTTTGTTAATTTATATTACAGAGTATATGAATCTGCTATAAGAATCGTCGCGAAAGCGTTTCTAAAGCTGGGTTTAGAACGACATCATAGCGTCTGCATAATAGGATTTAATTGTCCGGAATGGTTTATTACCGAACTTGCGACTATATATGCTGGGTAAAAAGACTTAGAGCCATTTTATATCAAAATAAGCATCAATTATAATTTACACTTACTGTTTACATATTCATAATATTGCTTATATAACGATACGATAATAAAAAGCTATATAACATTTTCATTAATATGTATTCTTCATTTTCTATTTTTTAAATCAAATATTTAAAGTAAATAGACCACCATTCCATTTTAGTGGAATTGCTACAGGGATTTATATTACAAATTCTCCAAAAGCGTGCCAATATTGTGCTGAACATAGTAGGGCAAATATAATAGTTGTTGAAGATAAGAAACAATTGCAGAAAGTTTTGCAAATAAAACACAATTTGCCCCATTTGAAAGCAATTGTTCAATATGACGGTATACCTACTGAAAAGGATGTTTTGAGCGTAAATTGATTAATTCTTGTCTAATATTTTTTTATTTAGTTAATTTAGTATATACAACTAATTATTATTTATTTTTTCTCAGTGGGATGATTTATTGGATATAGGTAAGAAAGAATCGGATGATAAATTATTATCTGTATTAAAGACGATAGGAATAAATGAATGTTGCATTTTAATATATACGGTACGTTGAATTTATCACAGTTAATCAAATTGTAACTGCTATAATATGTACATATATTTAATACATAATTTTTTTTATTTACAATCTTTATAGTCCGGAACAGTTGGAAATCCAAAAGCTGTAATGTTAAACCATGATAATGTGTTGTTTAACGTGCGGGCATTGTTACCAATGCTACAGATGAAAGAAAAATCAGAAGTTATAGTTAGCTATTTACCACTATCTCATGTTGCAGGGCAGGTAAGATATTTCAAATAACATAATATATATTTTATCTGTATCTTAATAAATAAAAATCTATCGGTGGCATTACAACAGTCAATATACATTTCCACGTATATAAATTACAAAAAATTTATAAATATATTCACATTTGGAGATATACAGATGTGTGTGTGTGTGTGT